AACGTACAATACTTTATTATAAAGTACCTACCTACGGGTGGCAACCCTAATTTCAAGATAAGATAAGCCTATATAACTCACCTGTTTTTTGGTCCATTTCCTATCTTCTTATCAATTTGTAATATCGATATACCTAACAATAACTAGACGGTATTAATATTGTTTTAGGATTCCGTGCGTAAAGGGTAAAACGGGACACCATTTGCAAAATCAACGCCATGGACTGGGGCCTTCTTGCCCGATCCACAGCATTAAGTTGAGCCTTTTATGCTGCGATGCACTATATACTTATTTTTGTCCTTGTTCACTTGTGTATCATAGCACAATACACGATTTTTTTGCATTTCTAACTATTTAAGTTTTTTTCCATGAAATGAAAACGTGCATAGGAAGCACTTCATTTGTAAAGCAATCGGTGCAACCTAGGATACTCGTATGCCAAAGAATCCTTTGGTAAACCTAGTAAATCTACTAGGTCGTTTTAAAGGGGGAAGCAATATGGCCCTCCGGATCCTAGTACTAAGACCCCGTTATATGTCCGTCTGCCTATGTATCAGTTCTTAGTAGTTCTATATTAAATGAAGAAATATGCGTTGTGTACGGTCACCATCAACAAAATCACAGGAATAATATAGCACTATTTTCACATCTTTGAACTGATTTAATTCGATTTGGACTGTGTTTTTGATATAAGACCCCATATATTTTTTTGTTTGTGATGTTATTCTGCATCAGTTTTTCTATATCCGATCAACTGCCGCGAAAAAATGAAAAGGCATCACGCTCCATACAAATTTGGTCAATGTCATTTGTAATGACTTTATATTATTTTGGGCGTAATAACAAAATAACACAAATTGTTAGGCAAATTGGGTCTCTGAGACCTATATCGGCGTAAATCTTGACATGGACAAATAAAAATTAAGTTCTGTGGGTTTTCAAGGACTAATATTAGTATTCAGGAATCAGGGATTTTAAAGAATAAATATGAATTCAATTAAGTGAGTACCTACAATTTATTCATAGACTAGCCTCTGCCTGCGGCTTCGCTCGCGTTCTTTTAATGGGATGAGGGAATGACCGTTGAAGAGTAACACCACGTTTTCCAAGTGGCAATTTTCCATCGTCAATGGATTCTGGCGACAGATTGGTGCTTTGGACCTGGTTTTGTACCCTTCATCGGCCAAGTCACATAACATTAACTATAATAATACCGGAATCGCAATAAGGACTTAGACTTAGCACGACTTTGTTCGTTTGTTGTTTGTTGGCTAGTTTTTTACAGAATGTTTTGGTGGGATTTAGTTTACTCCAAATATTATACAGTTTACAGTTCAATCGTGTGTCGAACCTCATTTCACGCCCCGAGATCCCACTAAGACAAGACACCTTCAAGTCGATTAAAGTGACGCCCAACTTGCGGCCACGAACGAACTGTGTATAAAAACTCAAAGTTATATACAAGAACCTAACGGGTAACCGGGGCTCCGACTCCACGTGCAGGAGAAGGAACGGGGTGGTTTTTAGTCAGTAAGAGTCTGACACTCCCTCCCGCCTCACCCAGGCGGGAGCAGTCATTCGATGATTTTCCCCCTTAAAAAAAAATAAAAAGTTTCTATCGTGCAAACACATATTGTGAACTCTCTCCGATAGTGCAATCACACGAAAACTATTGTAAAACCAGTGCAAATACGAAAGTGAAAACACTTGAGCGAGTCCATTTTCCGCGTGCCGCCGGTTGCGTCTGTAGGTATATACCTACCGACTCGTTGAAGCTACCATCTTCAAAATCATCACCCGTGCTCTTCGAGCGAGTAACAGTTGCCTGTTACTCGTATCATGCTACCGAAGAGAAGAACTGGAAGAGATGAGGGATTGGATACCGACACAGATGTCGAGATGAACAGAACCGTGATTTCGTCCCCGAATATTACAATGTTGGAGGATAAGTCAAATACCCTTGTCTCCAACATCACTAGGAGTCAAGTGGAAGCAAACAGAGTTCTGAGAATTTTGGCGGGAAGCAAAAACCCGTTGATTACGTCACCGCCGCGCGCCGAAGTCGCCGACGCACACACGCATGCGCCGCGCGCAGGAAACTTCGTGAAATGCATGGAGCGATTTAACGGATCATCGAGGAACGCGGATGAACTCGAAGCATTCATCGAGGCCATCGAAGTCTGCCGCGACTGCACCAACGTCAACGACGAGTACGCGCTGTGCGGCCTGCCGATGCTGCTGGTGGGCGAGGCCGCAGTCTGGTGGCAAGGAGTGAAGTCGTCGGTCACGTCGTGGACCGACGCCCTACAACGACTTCGAGGGATGTTTGGAGTGAACGGGCCGACGTATTTAGTTGTAAAGTGCGCGCTTTGTTATCAAAATTACCGTACGTAGTACCGGAGGTAATGAAGTTGGACATTGTATACGGGTTGTTAGATCGTAGGATTAGAAAACGTGTGTGTCGTGATTCCTTCGTCGGGCTGGAGCAACTCATCACCAAAGTCAGTTTAGTCGAGGAGTCACTGACTGAGTCACACGAGGAGGTAAGTTCCCCCAATCTTAATAATAATTCGAGTTCTGTGCGCCGCGCGTGACCGTTCTGACACAAACCCGAGTCCTACCCTTTCGAATACCGTCGCCGAACCCGTATGTTCGAAATCGACATGTAGCGCGAGTTCTTTAGTAAGTTTACGTGATGCGGCCATGTTAGGTCAGGCCTCCACGTCTAACGTAAGGAATAATAGTAACGTACGAAAAAGTACGCGACCAAAGTAGTTATTGTAAACTTTTCGGGCATTCAGTTGATAACTGTCGTATTAAGAAGGAAGATACTTCTAGTAATAATAATAACACTCAGTTACGTTGCTACGGATGTGGCCAGCTGGGAGTAGTGCGCTCAAAATGCGATACGTGTAAAAGTACAGCCGACTCAAGTAAAGTTGATTTTTGCAGTACTTACATCGTAGGCGTGATTGATAATGATTCGCAACCGCTGATAAGTATTGAGGTCGTTGACCGTAAGGGTGTGGCCATACTGGACACGGGGGCCACACATTCTATTATACCACAGTGCAGCTAGCGTTTTAATGACGATTCGAGTTGCCATCCGTTTGACGCCAGCCCCGCTATACCTACTACCGACAGCATAGAGCCGAGGAAGCCAGAAGCTACCGAGCTCGTAATGATGGATTATGAGGGTACCGCGCTGACGGCTACCCAGAGGGTACGGTCAAACGCCTCTACGTTGGATGTAACCGACCGCTCCACGAAGGAAGAACCCTCGACCAATTACACCCGGTGTCAATTAAGGTCTGACGCGAGCCTAGAACGTTATCGTTTGTCATCTAGTCTCGTAGCAGCTTCAATGCAGGGGGAGGGCCCAGAGGAACTGCCCACCTTCATGAATTTTAGTCCGCAAGTTCGTAAAAAGAACCGATTTAGTGAGAAACATAGCTCTGGAAATAAACTTCATCCTGCGCCGGAATATTCCACAGGAGCTGGAGGTCTGATTCTGTTAAGAACTCAGGGTAGTGACGATGCGCCCCGTGGACAGACTCCGAGGTCTAAATCACGTCGTAAACCAGGTAGTCGCGAGAATTCGGGTAAGTACCGCGTCTCACAGTTGACTCCATTCGTAGGCGATGTGCTGATTCCGCCTGTTATCGAAAAGCGTAGGCACGGAAGACTCAAGCGATTTCTAGACTGACCAAGATGCGAGGGCGCTATGTCTAGGTCAGAGGGGGAGGATGTAACGCGGCAATTCGATTTTGGTTTGTGTCGGACGCACGCGCGCCACTCTAGTGACAACACGCCACCTCACTATCCCTCTTCCCTCGCTTCCCCGCCACTGATCGCTCGACGCTTGCGAGGACGCGAGCCGGGACGCACGCGCTCCGTGTTTGTACCGCGAATATTTTGAGTTTGTTTTATTGTGAAACCTTGTTTATATTTAGTTTACTCCAAATATTATACAGTTTACAGTTCAATCGTGTGTCGAACCTCATTTCACGCCCCGAGAACCCACTATGACCTTCAAGTTGGGCTCGCTGCCATTGCAGCGGTAAGTCCCCCATTTGAGGAGTGGCTTGAGAGACGCTACGGCGTCCTCACCTACCGCCTGACGCAGGTCCTCACCGGACGTGGAAGTTTCGAGAGGTACCTTTGTCTGATGGGGCGGGAGGAAAGGTCCGGGTGTCATCACTGCGAGGACCGCCCTGAGGACACGATGGAATACATAGTGGGGGAATGCCCTGCGTGGGCTGAGGACCGCCGTGCCCTCAGGGAAGTGATCGGCGATGACGACCTCTCGCGTCCGAGCCTAGTGCAGGCCATGATGCGGAACAGTTATGCTAGCTAAGGAGGAGGCGGGACGCGTGAGGCAGTGAAGCGCTGCCTCTTCGCAACCCAGCCATCGCGAAGGACACAACGGTCGTCGGGGATCGCGGGATGATCTCCGGCCACCGTAAGCGCGAGCATGGGTGGCTCCCCGACCGACCAGAAACAGACCCGAGCGTCCGGTGCGTCGTGTTCCGCGCGCGCCTCAAAGAGCCATCAGACCACCACAGATGGGGCCCAACAGGGCCGATGCCGATTCGGAGTCGCGGAGAACCTAACGGGTAACCGGGGTTCCGGCGCGACGTGCAAGAGAAGGAACGGGGTGGTTTTTAATCAGTAAGAGTATGACACTCCCTCCCGCCTCACCCAAGCGGGAGCAGTAATTCGATGATTTTCCCCCTTAAAAAGAATCATTTTATTATATTCTTTACTTAGTAAAGAAGTTATCGAGGAAATAGTAACTATTTTGAAGAAAAAAACTTCCATCGGAAAAGATCATTCCTACTGCGGTAATTACTTCATTATCTGACAGCCCATTACTTTTAATCCGGATATCACTAATTGAAATCTAAACAAACACAGTTTTCTTAAAGATACCATTATCTTTAAGAAAACATCTGATCGTGGACCTTATCAGATATATTACTATATAACAGTCGAATACAGTACTCAGTAGCCATTGCAAACACTTAGCTACAAGTGATATTTCCTACGGTTCGAAGAATAGCTAAGATATTATAGAAGGTAAGTGATTTTTTGTCTGCTTATTTTTTTTAGTCAAAAGCAATTAGAACTATATTTTTTTTGTTTGGCAAAAGAGTTTGACGCCGTGACAGTTGGAACTGATTTGGAATTGGACTGAACCGTATCCATATCCCATGAATCCGAACATAGTATCTCCTTTTTTAACCTCGATAAAAATAGCAAATACGTCGGGTATGCTACGTAAGTCCAGTAATTTTGAACGTCAAAAACCAAAACCTAAAAACAAGCAAAAAATATGTTTTTATAATAACTATCGTGAGACATACTAAATTAAGTAAAAACGCGGGTTACTCAGTGTGTAACGAGTGAGCTGCGCGACGTCGCCGCGACCGCGCACGCTGCTCATGAGGAAGAACCCCTCTGTGGTTCGAAACTAGTAGAGCTTTTCTCAGTATATTCACGTGAGTAACCCGCGTTTTTACTTAATTAAGCAAAAAATAACTATTATTAGTCATACATACTTATAGGTTACCCATCCACTGATAGGTTAAAAGTCGTAGTAGTACTTTTAAATCCTTACTTCCTTACTTATATTATAAATCGGAAAGTGAGTTTGTTTGTATGTTCCGCTTTCACGCCGTAACTACTAAACCGATTGCTTTGAAATTTTGCATACGTAAAGTTAGAAGTCTAGATTAAATAATAGGGTACTTTTTATCCCGGAAAAATTTTATATTTCTGAGGGAAAACAAAAATATTGGTATAGATGGCGCTGTGTGATTGGTATAGATGGCGGTGTGTGTCATTTAGAACCAGTCAACGAATTACCTATTATTGGAAAAACCTAAATAGCGAAAGCTATTTGATTGTTTGCCTGTCTTAAACGGCAGAACGGAGGTACTAATTAACGTGATTTTTTAACTGAAGGTAGTTGAAGGGATGGATAGTAACATAGGCTACTTTTTATCCTTTTGTGACGCAAGCGAAGCCGCGGGTAAAAGCTAGTACTATATAAAAAACTAACAAACGCTCTCGTCTCCCTTATAATTTTGAAAGGTTCTCCTCGGTTTCCACTGGATCCCATCATTAGATCCTGACCTGGTGAAAATGAGACCATCCCGACCCCGAGGTCTCCAGATCTCGAAACCTTTCCAAAAACAAAGAATCATTAAAATCTACCCACAAATGCCGGACTATAGGGCAAAAAAAACATACAGCCGAATTGATAACGCCGAATATTTTGGGACGCAAAATCATTTTAAAAGCAGCCTTTATCAATTTCTGTTTCACATCACAACTTTTACCGCCGAAGGTGTAGATAGAGGTGCACGTACTACTGTTTTTTTTTTAAACTCCACTAGTGCCCGACCCGGCAATAGAACCCTCGAGGTAGTTATTACTACTATTATTATATACTATTGTTGTACTTTCCACTAAACGAATTCAGAAATTTTAATACTAATTTCCTGGTATAAAATGTGAAACTAGTTTCATACCACAATCCGCCATCATCCAGTCTAGCCAAACTTAGACCTAAGTATGTATTATTGCAGATGAGGACCTTTATCATCATCACGGTGCTGTCAGCACTCGCTGCCTGCTATGGTGCCGCTGTCCTTCCCAGCGAGAAGGTGATGTCCGAAGGTATCACCATAGTATATGACGTGGATTCACCCAATGGAAGGGTTATGTCTAGGTCGGACATACTAGACCCCTTATTCTTTCTCTTATCTGAGTGAGTATCCACTAAACTCTTTAGTAACTGAACATTATTTTTTGTTTATGAGATATGCCGTAAACGAGCAGACGGGTTACCTGATGGTAAGCAATCGGCATCGCCCATGGACATCTAGAACACTAGCATATGGTATATATAATATTGAATAATATTAAATAATATTGAACACAACACCTCAATGCTGCTTAAGTTTAATAATGTCGATTGAAATCCATAGATGTCGCTTACTAAAAATCGGAAGTGTCAACGAAAATTCTAAAATAGTTGGTTGATAAAATTTAACAATGTTCTTTAAAATCCTATTATCGTAGCGGTAATCAAAAATGATAAATAAAGGATTCCTCCAGTTAGGATAGAGAGGTATTACAGATTATCGGTTAGTGTGATTTTTTATGTAATAATAATTGGAAGCACTGAAGTATACCTGCACTAGCTTCACCACTAGTATCAGAGGTACGGTGCGAACAATCTAAGAAACTGATTGCCTGTTACTAAAATACCAGACAGGCATTAAACCAGGCATTACAGTATTCTGTGAGAGAGTAGTACTTCCTTCCGTTAGAACCAGCTCATTAAAGTTGCATATAGCATTCAGATTCTATTGGTATGTGTAAAGCGCCATCTATTGGAAAACGCTCAAACTATTTTGGCAAGCAGTCTACCATTTGTTTCATTAAATTAAAATATCAAACACTGTACCATTACAGTATTCTGTGGGAGAGTAGTACCTACTTTCTTTAATAAGAACCAGCACATTAAAGTTGCATAAAGCATCTTGCCGCGGAGAACATAGCGGGTAACCGGGGCTCCGGCTCGAAATACATGAGTAGGAACGGGGTGGCTTTTAGTCAGTATGAGTCTGACACTCCTTCAAACCTCACCAAGAAGGGAAAAGTCAGTCGATGATTTTACCCCCTTAAAAAAAGACTACTTTATAGTGTTAAGCACCATCTATTGGAATACGCTCAAACTATTGTGGCAAGTAGTCTAGCATTTGTTTCATTAATCATTTATATCAAAACAAAAGATAACACTAGCAAAGCGTTTGAGGTGCCCACGCATACAAACTGCTTGTCAGTCTACTATGTTGTTGTTTGTGTTATAGGACATCATTATTATTACTATCTGCTTAACCGTGCGTTACGCTGGTACAAAAGGTAGTGAAGTTTATCATGGTCATCAAATGAGAAGTTAAGGAATGGAATTTAAGATACTTATATAATATTAAACTCTCACTTTCAGGTCGACCATTAACGTGCCAGCTATTCCAGGCGAGGTACAAAAAGCTGGCATAACGTATCAAGCTCCAGTAGGAGTCACGATCGGCAGAGTTACAATAACTCTTTACGCCAATCTTCCTGCCGATACACAAAATTCTCCATTGGGAAGCAACTACGTCGAATCACTTGTGACATCACGTCCAGGACACGCCATTAATGGAAGTATTGCTGTCTATAGGTGGGCAGATTAATTGAATGGACCTGATGCTGTATACTCCGTAAAACAATGACAATGTGCTAATTACTGTTTATCAAAAATTTTGCTATCCAATACTCTCAGTATCATCATCATCATCGTCAACAGCCTATAAGTGACCACTGCTAACCGAAGACATCTTGTCACACGAGAAAGTTTGAGCATTAATCACCATGTTTGCCCAATAAGGATTTGTGATTTCAAACTTGTAATTAGAAATTATATGGCCAAGTTTCCTCACGATGTGTTACTGCTAGTATAGTATTGTGTAAATAACTATAAATTAAATTGTTCAATTCAACATTTTATTCTTTTATTTATTTACTGTACTCGGAGTGCGAAACATACCTCTTTATATACTACCAACGGCTGACCCAAGCTTCACCTGGATACTATTTTCCGAAGTTTTTGTCCTAACAATAACCAACAACACGTCAAGAGAAGAAATATCTGTTTAAGTCGATAACTGTCAGAGTTATGCGCTTACATACATTTGGGTGATTCGTAATGATATAAATCAATTATTATGTTTTCGGCTCTCATGTAATTAGTTATGACTAGTTTTAAGCCATGCTGATCTGATACTGATCAGTAGCAGCGCGACAGTCGCCGCGTCGCAGGAGGCGAAGTGCTATTTATGAATATCAGCCTCTAGCATGGCTTGAAACTAGTCGAGTTCCTCGTCAAATAATTACGTGAGTAAGCCGAAAACATAATAATTTATTTAGTATCTATGTCTCACGAAAGTTATAATACAAATATACACAATAGAAAGCGGACTCCATAAGATTTGCTGCTGCCGATGACAATAAAACCAAATTGGATAATACTTCGAGTCAGTCCAAACCTGATAGAGCACTACCTCCCCGGTGAACACCATCCGCACCTGAAGGAGGCACAGTGTCCTCTTAGTAGACCAGCTCCGGAGCCCTCAGGGGCCAACGCCTGTTACGGCACCTCCCTGTGGAGACCTACATATGTGTCCACCTAGAGCATTTCTGTGCAGTGCACAACGGCACGTGACCACTGTGCCGCTATTTTTCTTGAGGTAATTAGGTGGATTTAGGTCTCTAGATTCCTATTATGTACCTACCTATTCCAAGATAAAACAAGTGAGTAATATAGGCAAGGTTACTCACCTGTTTATTGGTCCATTTCCTATCTTCTTATCAATTTGTAATATCGATATACCTAATAATAACTGGACGGTATTAATATTGTTTTAGGATTCCGTGCGTAAAGGGTAAAACGGGACAAAATCAGCAACATGGACTGGGGCCTTCTTGCCCGATCCACAGCATTAAGCTGAGCCTTTTATGCTGCGATGCACTATATACTTATTTTTGTCCTTGTTCACTTGTGTATCATAGCACAATACACGATTTTTCTTGCATTTCTAACTATTTAAGTTTTTTTCCACGAAATGAAAACGTGCATAGGAAGCACTTCATTTGTAAAGCAATCGGTGCAACCTAGGATACTCGTACGCCAAAGGTTTTACTAGGTCGTTTTAAAGGGGGAAACAAAATGGCCCTCCGGATCCTAGTACTAAGACCCCGTTATACGTCCGTCTGCCTATGTTTGAGTTCATCTCTATCGTTCGTATCTGTCCTCACCCTAATATCATTAGGGTGTATATATGTATTTCTTTTGTATTATTTAATAGTTTAGTTGTAGTTAATTTTAAGTTGTAAATATTTATTATATTCTTCCTTTAGGATTTTCCCAGTTGTGCAGTATTTTTGTTCTATAAGAGAAAGTTATTATGTTCCTTTTCTTAAAATTATTCTTTCTTTTTCTTTAAATTATATTCTGATTAATTTCGTAGTGAGTTTAAACAGATTCCAGAGACAGTTGTGTCCCTGGGGTAGAATTCATTGTTTCAGTGTTCTCACAGTTGTATCTCTAGTCGATTCTGACAGAAGTTGCAACAATTTTGGGAGGTTAGAACGATGCATAAAAAAGCTGTATTTCTTGAACCCTGATAGATAGTTGAAATTTTTACACTATAATTATAGTTAATTATAATAAACTAAATAATAAATAACTAGAACTAAGTTAAATAAAAATAAAGTTATACAACTAAAATTAACAAAATTAACATAACGCATCAAACAATTATCCTCTTAATTGCCATAAGGTTAGGTGCCCAAAAGGCTGTCGGCAGCATTGCCACTTTGGATGTCAGTGCTTAACCTTTGACCAAGATAGTAGCCAGACTTTCGACCACCTGAAGTGTCAACCATGCTCTTTACAATATCTTTGTAAAGAAGATGTGGATTTGGACCCCACGGCCCTAAAGTTTCAACCCCAAATGGTTCGAAAGCATAATCATCAATCAGGCTATTAAGGTGCTATAGTTTCGCCGTTTGAGGTTCTCAGCAGCAGTAGCGGTAGTACCGGCTCGACACACTGAGCTTGGAAGATAGAATGGCGCAATAGTATCAACGTAAATGGCGTCCCATACTAAAGGCCTACCCATCTTCCAAGGGAATAAAGACATACCGTCAGGTCTCTTGCCATCGTTGCGTACCAAGACATTAAGCTAGGTAGCTGGCACGCCGACAGAGATAAAAACCCGACGAACACTATTATATAATAAATTTTTAAATATACACAAATGCTAAAAGACAGAAAATTAAATTATTATTGTAGTTGTAGTTTTTTCTTGGGAGAGCATTGCTTCGGCACGAATGAGCCGGCTTGATCGGAGTGATATCACGGCATCACAGAAAAACGAAGCAACGCTGGCGTTGTGTTTCGTCGTGTAAGTGTGGTTACGGGAGGTCTAATTACCCCCTTCCCCAATCCCTGAATCCCCAACGATCCTCAAACTCCTAATCCCCAAAAGGCCGGTAGCGCACTTGTAACGCCTCTAGTGTTCCAGGTGTTCATGGACGACGCCGATTGCTTACAATCAGGTGATCCGGCTGATCGTTTACCGGCTTATGCCATAAAAAAAAAATATTTTTATAGACAACAGAACCCTGTATTCGTGACTCCGACTTAAAATTGACTGGATTTTATGAGGATAATGCGGTTATATCTATTTATTTATCTTATCATATAGATAAATATTACCTTTATTCCAATATATTAGTTGAATACATAACTTCTTACTATTCCATGACCGGCACGTACGGCGTTACAGTTGTATCAACAGACAATAACAAAAAACCAAATGTAAGTCTTATCGTATATCTGTAGCTACAGATACTTAATTTTAATTTTGTAGTTTTGTTTTGTTTTCTTGATTAATTTCTTAAATAAAAACATACAATCACTTTTCTTAACATAAAATGAAACTAGAGGAATTTAAGTGGAAGTCGGGTAAACATAGTATAGGAGATAGACATATAAGTACATATAATTCGGTATGTTTTACTTGTTATTAGTACATGTTAGGTATATCATTTTAGCATTATATTTATGTAATAAGTAATTTAATTTTATATCAAGCTCGGTCATGTTATTTTACGCCATATTTTGTTATTGTGTTGTACCATTTTGTATTATGTTTTTGTGATTATATTCTTTATACTTTTGAGGGCCCTTATTCATAATTAAACAAGATACATACGAGAGCGAATGTGAATGTATAAAGTTTTTTTTAACGTTGCCCGAAACTAGAATTATCTCCTGTGTCGTGGGTGTCTTTACAAACATACAAGTTCACAAATACACGACACCCAGACCCGATACAACAATAAAATTTGTGGTTGAGACAAAGAGTTGCTCCCTGCGGGAATCGAACTCGCTACACGTTGCGCATTTACCTCTAGTATTACGAGTCGTAAAGGCTAGCAAAGCACTTGTGCAAACGTGGTCTTTTATCAATTTAAGTGTGAGTGAGCCATGTTTCGTCACGAATGGGTCGCTTCGATCAGAGTGATACCACGACCACACAGAAAACCGACGTGAAGCAACACTTGCGTTGTGTTTCGTTGTGTGAGTGAGGTTATCGGAGGCCCAATTAGCAATCTCCCCAATCCCTGAATTCCAAACAATCCTCAAATTCCCAGTAGGCCGGTAACGCACTTGTAACGCCTCTGGTGTTCCAGGTGTCCATGGGTGACGCCGATTGCTTAGCAGCAGCTGATCCGTCACCTCGTTTAACGGCTTATTCCAAAAAAAAAATCGAAATTTGGGTTTCGCGATTCGGGGAGATCTGAGTATTGACTAATACATGACCTTGGTAGACATATATGTGGAAGAATTTTCCTTATTTTTATACGTAATCAGCGATTTATAATTCGCAATAATTATAATCATATACAACACGTACCTACATAGACAGATTATCTTCGTATCGGCCGATTGAATGAATCCGATTAATGGCTCATTATTATCAAACCTTATCGATTACAATGAAACATGACGGAGGTCAGGTCAGGAAGTATATTTTGGTTGATACGGACGTGCAGTTGAAAAGAGATAAATAGATTATTTGAAGACACATATCATCCATCTGATTGAAAGAGAAAGGAGTATGATAGGGATTTAAAAATGAATATAATTACTGATAGGGCGTAGGGCGATCTCTGTTTTGAGGGGAGAATAATCATCTAATGACTTTTCCCGTCCTTGGTGAGGTTAGAAGGAGTGTCGAACTCTTATGGACTAAAAACCACCCGTTCTAACTCCTGCTTCGAGCCAACGCCCCGATAACCAACAAAGTCATCCGCAGCCCAGGTCGAACACAAACTCCATCAACTTTTATTAAGTGTCTATTTAGGAATACCATCTAATCATATAGGTTAACTTTAGTCCAAACGTTTAGACAGAAGAGACTAATCTTTATCGTACACCATTAATAATATAGTACATACAGAAAAGCAGGCGGTCTTATCACTTATAGTGATTTTTACCAGACAACCTTTGGGTGCATATATTACAAAAGAAATATTTAAATGGGTTGTGTGCTAAGAAAATAAATAAACAAATTAGTAATAATACATACATAGACATACGTATTATATACATATCATACCTACACTTAAATATACCATAATAGGGTACATGCCTCATTTTTATTTTAATATCTGTCTGGTAGATTATTTTAAATCATTACACACGTATTTTTTATTTTCTTACAGAAACTAATACTATCGACGAGTTATTGATTTGAAATGTCGCGTGACGTCACTTCTATGTATTTACATTTTATACATAGAAATGATGTTTTAACCCCTACTCCTAAACTTTGATTCATTTTATTAAGTATTGTTTAATTATACGACGAAATAAAAAATACGTGTCTAATATTTTTTCATTACCTAACTGACGGACTAATTATATTTTTAATTTTCATACCCTGTCATCATCCCTATTATGGTTCACATGAAAGGAAACAAAATAGAAACAGTATGAAGGTGTAATTTGTTGTTACAGATGAGGAGCTTCATCATCATCACAGTTCTGTCTGCACTCGTAGCCTGCTATAGTGCTTCTGTATTACCGAGCGAGGAGGAGATGATCACTGTCATATACGATGAAAACTTTCCAAATGGAACTATTGTTTCTAAAGAAGAACTTGATTCCAGATTCACCAGATCAGGACTAGTATCTTCGTGAGTATCTACTTAGTTACGGCCTTCGATCAACAATAACAACTAGATATCGGGTTGGCGCAAGAAAATCGTCTCGACAAATAAGAGCTCACTTGAGAAGTGAGCTCTTATTTTGTTTAGTATGCAGTATGCTCCAAACACGGCCAACGTACTGACGTCTCACGATGCCGCAGTGCGTAATTGCAATTTGCAAAAATAATAACCGAAAAAGCAGTATTACGGCCGAAGTGTCTTACTTACGATAAGTCCATAAAGTATACGTTATATTTTAAGCTTTTAAACTAGTAAATAATATCAAATTAGACAAAATTACCAATTATAAAACAACACCACCAATGTTTGTGCGTATGTTGGCCAAGCATCGCCAATACGCGCACAAACATTTGTTTAAACAGAACAGTGGATGCATGGAGTCGATTTGTATTGTAAAATAAAATTGTATTGTAACCTGATTGGAATACAGTACCTAACCTATGGAGTTTCTTGCTCGTTCTGTTCCATAGGAATCTACACCTAGGAATGAGCAAATAGTTCACTTTTAAATTTATATTATTGAAGTTCAAAAGTGCCTTCCTGGTCTAACTGAAATAAATGATTTTGACTTAGACTTAAACTTTTAATAATAAAGTAAATAAACATATCATACACAAAAACGTACCGCTAATAAAAATAAGTGATGTATACTAAGATCCCGAAATATTAATTTTCATAATTTATAAAATTATTTTAGTGTTCAACGCTACTCCATACATACCTCCTGTAGCGAAATTCGAAATTCGAAAAACAAAAACGAAACAAAACAAAACGATATAGCATTGCAAGGCAATAACGGAAAAAGTATCTTTATTTGTTCTAGGTTAAGGTTGTATTCAAACTAGATATTGAATAACTTATGTCTTTTAATTTCTACATGACAAGAGTAAGAAAATGCTTTTCTCGTCTTATATGACAAATGGTCGTAAGTATTAGATAATATTTTGGCGATTTATGACTTTATTATTAGGTGCCATGGTTGTTATTAGGTTGACCATAAAACCATTTTAAAACATTTTTCTCTGTTTGTTATTTTTTTACTATTATTATTCACACGGACAGAACTGGAGCTTGATTTTGTACGTAACCCTTTATCTAGTTGCTATTGTTGATCGAAGGTTACGGCTAACAAAACGTTTTTGTCAAAAGGAACAAATATTTCAAAAACATTTATTCATTGTACACAGGCACGTAGGTATATGTACCTATTATGTACAATACAATTGTTATCATAATTTAGTTGCGATAAACTGAACTATTTCTTCTATTGCCCAGTTTCTGCTTTCATTGTTTTATTAGGACACTAAGGACAAATGCGTTTAGAAGTTTTTACGAGTAACTCGAACTATTTATAAAGTATATTTATGTTATTTGTTTCTTATAATTACACATGCCAATTTTTCACCGATTTCCTATTTAACCCTAAGGTTGACTGGGAGAGAATGCCATATGGCATTAATGTTCGCCTTATGTACCATTACTTGTGTCTGTGTACATTAAAGTTTAAAAAAAAACTTCTATTTCATACTTATGCCATAAAATAGTCGTATTTCACTATATCCACCCAAAGGTTGGTAGAAATCACTTTAAGTGATAAGACCGCCTTTGTGTCCATTACTATTTTTATTTATATTTGTCATTTCCTTTTCTGTATGTGCTGTATTATTAATGGTATACAATAAAGTTATATTCTATTCTATTCTGTTTTTTCTTGCCGTGGCAGTCCTAAGCCTTGGGCTAGATTTGTATTTCTCATTCCTAAGTACCAAAGTGTATTTAATTTCTTACTTGTAGGTAGTAAATGTGAAACTCTGTGAGTTTGTGTATACGTTGGTTACTCAATCACACCAAATGACTGAAAAGATCGGAATGGAATTTGAAACAGGGATAGATTATGGTCTAGAATAACACATAGGCTACTATTATCATAATTATCCCTCAGTATTGCTGGCAAAACCGCTAGAAATTTGTATCTACATATATGTATACATATATCTTCACAAACTTTCACATCTGTCGCCTACAAATAGGAATAAAAAAAAATCTCAGTAGTAGCACGGAGTCTGGAATTGTGCGCGGTATATGGCAATAGGCTCACCCCCTATTACATGGGACTCATAACATCAATAGTGAAAAGTGGGTGTTACAAAGTACAGTGGCATAATTTGTACCTCTGCCTATCCCTTCGGGGATAAAAGGAGTGATGTTAATGATATTATGCTATGTTAAATAAGAAATATAAATAATTTGTCACTTTGATACTTGGGAGTTAGAAATATAAATCTCGGCCTAGGTCTAGGACCGCCAGGTCAACAAAAAATATGACTATTTTATGGACTAGGTATGATATATCATCATCACACATCCATGATGTATGGATTTGAATCACCATGGTAAGCAATCTGTACCGCGTGTGGACGACCACAACACTAGGGGATGTTCAAGTGCGTTGCTGGCCTTTTAGGGGTAAGAAAGAGGATGATATGCGACAACCTCACAAAGTACCTCAATAAACATTGTTTCATACCGGTTTTCTCTGAGGCCGTGGTCGGCCGTAGTCGTCGTCGTACTCGGGCCAAACCGACCTATTTGTGCCAAAGCCAGGCTCTCCTTGAACAGTTTTATTAATATTGTAACGTATTTTTGTTATGTTTAGATGGGTATGCACGGTGCCGGCGATCTCAAGACAGTCACAGGTTATCACTCTGCAATATCTCGGCGATTCGCGTGATTTGGTAAGAAGAGTCGTTCACAGTTATACTGGAAGCCCTACGATGACTCATAGTCCACTTATTACCAATAACATGTTTGTAACAATTACATCGCGAACCGGTCAAGAAATAAACTCAAGAGTTGAGCTATATTTATATTAAGAATAAATATTTCTGTAAGCTTTAATTATTATATGTAATATAATAAAATTGTAGAAACATATAATAAAATTGTAGAAAAGTGCTGTCTGTACATTGAAAATAAAAATAAAAAAAATAGCAGGGGCTATTGTTATGTCGATGTCGAACCCAAAAATGTAACTAACTTTTTTTTTGTCTGTTTGTCTGTTTGTCTGTTCACGCTAATCTCAGAAACGGCTTATCCGAGTTGGATGCGGTTTTCACGAATATATTGTGGTATGCTTCAGTTATGCTTTAGTGTTTGTTTCATGTCAATCGGTTCATAAATAAAAAAAGTTACGTCAAATTAAAGAATCACGTCGAACACTATCTATCTATCTATACATATAATAAAATTGTAGAAAAGTGCTGTCTGTACATTGAAAATAAAAATAAAAAAAATAGCAGGGGCTATTGTTATGTCGATATCGAACCCAAAAATGTAACTAACTTTTTTTTTGTCTGTTTGTCTGTTTATCTGTTCACGCTAATCTCAGAAATGGCTTATAAATATAATTATATATATTTAACAGGGTGCGGAAAAGGTGATAGTGGTTTTATTCCTCAAATTCCTCTCATTCCAAAAAAAAATCCGTTTAATTTTAAACGAATTCAGTTTCCAGTGAGCCTATGTTTCGCCATGACAATTAATAAAGCTCAAGGTCAGACTCTAAAAGTTGTGGGTATAGATCTAAGTATCAGCTGTTTTTCGCACGGTCAATTGTATGTGGCTCTGTCCCGTGTTAGCAATCCCAGCAGCCTGTATGCTTCACCGCCGATGGCCATACGTCTAATATTGTATATAGAGAAGCATTACACTAAAGTAGGTTTTTTAGCTATCCAAAATGACTGTGATTGTGATCCAAATCTAAAATAAAAATAAGTATATATTTAAAAAAAAAACGCTATCCTACGCGAACGAAGTCGCGGGCACAGCTAGTAAAAAATAAAAATACAGATACTTATATAAATAAATAATATTAATAAACTTAAAAGAGTAAAGAAAAGAACGAAAAAGATAAAAGTACAACGAAATATGTAAACTTAATATTAATGTGAAAATACATAATTATCATTGTGAATCTTATTATGAATAAATATTATAAAGGTATAAGTTTGTAAAGATTGGCGATGAGAATTATACAAGAGGGTAGATGCCTAATTTTTATTTCAGTAGTATGGGTTCGTCTGGTAGATTATTTTAAATCATTAGACACGTATTTTTTATTTTCTTACAGAAACGAATATTTTCGACGATATATTGATTTGAAATGTCGTGTGACGTCACTTATATGTACATTTTATACGTAGAAATGACGTTTTAGCCCCCACTCCTAAACTTTGATTGGTTTTATCTACGTATTGTTTTATTATACGACAAAATAAAAAAATATGTGTCTAATATTTTTTCTTTACCTAACTTACGGACTATTTAGATTTTACATTTTCATACCCCGACATCATCCCAATTGCTATCTTCTGGATTATTAGCTGTCAGTTTTATATAGTTGTTAAATAAATAAATGAATATATTAGCTAAATGCTGATGATAGTTCATTGACATTGTTCTCAATTATACATTCTACCTTTATTATACTCGACCTGAATATTGTTATTAAAAAATAACATACAAATAAATAAATTATATTTATTAACAATCTGTGTTTTTTATTGTACCTGTGATATGAGCCCCATGGCTCATTTATAATCGACACTCAACGTGTATGGATAGCCTTTTCCTCCCCTCCCCAATCGCCCCAGTCCCTAAATCCGTAACCTTTGTATGTGTGTGTGTCAGTATTCTCACCTCACTCACTCCCTCACTCGGTCACTTACTAAGCTATCAAGCGCTTAAACACTTTTAAAAGGCTCTTCGATAATATAGAGGGCGCAACATGTATCTACTACCTACTACTCATGAGTTCATCAAGTGATATGGTGAATGTAAAGTATATATGTATTTGATGTTTAAACCAATAAATTAATTAAATCATGCGAAACGGATTTTTAATGTTCTACTCAAGTGACTTGTTGACGAGGAACTCAACTAGTTTCAGACAACGCTAGGAGCTCATATTCGTGTGCAGCAGATATGCATATTTAGTGGAATACATTTTAATATATTTGCGGTACGTGTTTTGATTTCTTGTTAATTTCTTGAAGTGTGGGAGAGCCATGCTTCGGCACGAATGGGCCGGCTTGACGGGAGTGATACCACGGCCTCACAGAAAACCGACGTGAAGCAACGCTTGCGTTGTGTTTTGTCGTGTGAGTGAGGTTACCGGAGGCCCAATTACCTTCCCCTTCCCCAATCTCCCCAATCCCCAACGATCTTCAAACTCCTAATCCCCAAAAGGCCGGTAACGCACTTGTAACGCCTGTGGTGTTCCAGGTGTCCATGGGCGACGCCGATTGCTTACCATCAGGTGATCCGTCTGCTCGTTTACCGGCTTATGTCATAAAAAAATACTTTATCTACTTTTTTGCCGAATTTAAATAATATCCAATTTCCACATCTTGATCATTGACATCTGTCCAGCACCACTTCTGTTTGTTGACTGAGATGGTTAACAGTTATCATTTTCTGGATGAAAAACAGATTTTAGAAATAGCGTCTCTGTCTTTTAGTATTAACATGGTATAAAGATTAAAAAGAATAGGGTTAAACCTTTATTTTTATGATCATCCTTGTTCCATTTATTGCAATAAAGGGCAAAGACTAGTACGAATGAAATGAGAGGTCATTTTTTTATCAAAATCATTAAATTTATTCAGTACTGTTTGATAATAACAGTATTATACTGAAGGGGATACAGATTGCAAAGGTGGAGAACTTAGCATATGAACCAGTATCAATTCTTCACGCTCTTCGAAGCAAGGTTACATTTGCGTTAACCTGTTGCCCAGCATGAGATCGTATAATTACAGTCATGACATTCGTTGATAGAGGAGTCCAATCTACTGCTGCAGGAGTTACCGTGTATGTTACTATGAGTCTGTTTATCGTGAGATTGGGTGCGCCATCATAATGCACCCTAACACGCTGCACTAGGCCTGCCACTGCTGGAGCGTTACATTGCCACCTAAAAATTATACCACAATATTTATTCTTATTATTCTAAGTTTTTTATTTCCTACCGTTTCCAATTTCAGATCTGGACCAACTGCTTGCTCTCCCTGTTTTAAACCAGGGACGCATCCTAAACAATAATTAACTGATTAGTAAATGCTTTCACTATTCATGACTAGTTCCTGTCTTTAATCGACAAACCTAATAGTTGGCAACTGACAAAAACATTTATACTATTTATTTACATGCATACTGTGAAGAGCCTTTGTAAGCAAGGTAATATCTAATAGACTAAGATGAATTATGATAGGAACTCTTTCCCTGTTTATAAATCCATGAGACAATTAATATTTATTATGTTTTTTGACTCGCGTAACTGTTTGATGAGTAATTCGACTAAGTTCAAGCCAGCCAGGGGTTCATATACTATTGGCAAATGACCCGACAAACGACGTGAAGATTCTAAGTAGCTGCGTAACGATCGTGACTGCACGATTGGTGCGGTGGCTGAGCAATCGGCTGCCGTGCAACGTGTCGCGTGTGATCCACAAATTGTTGTTTCGGGTCTGAGTGTCATGTGTATGTGAACTTGTATGTTTGTAAACGCACCCACGACACAGGAGAAAATCCAAAAATAGGGCAAAGTTTAAAAAAACGATCGCCGTGTCGTGTGTTGTCGAATGCTGCTCTTGAATATGAACCCCAGGCGTGGCTTGAAACTAATATAACTAAACTCGAGTACCTCGTGAAACAGTTACGTGAGGAAGATGAAAAACATAATAATAATTATTTATGACTCACGAAAGGTACATACACAATTATTTCATAAACTACGTTTAAACATACCGACTTCAATCCCTTCTTTCCTCGAAATCGGTTAATTATATACTACAACCTTCTCCCAAGCGTAACAAACACTTTTCTGAAAACCGCATCAAAATCGGTTCAGCCAATTGCGAGATAATTGCACACAAACATAACATACAGGTTATGTTGAGAACCTCCTGCTTTTGAAGTCCTTTAAAAATAGTCGATACTCACTCAGATATAACAACCCATGCTGTATTTTTTAAATTCACGTCTGCACTGGACATAAGTTTCCCGTCAATAGATGTATCATCCTCATCATATACTAAGGACATCGGCTCCAAACTTGGAATATCGGCATAGCAAGCTACCAGAGCTGACAGAACCGCGATGATAATGAAGTTCCGCATCTATAACAACCATATGGCACAATCTCATACTATTCTTGTAAACATCGAGACTTAGGTCTATCTAGACCTATCATTGTATCATCATCACACATATCATCATATAAAGTATTGAAAGTGTTTTTAAACTGTCAACCACCAAGCGGTCACCGGTGACCGCAACCTATTGTTCTATAATTGTGTCTACAAAACCGGTACTCGACGAGTTAAGGGGGGAAAATCATCGAAATACTTCTGCCGCCTAGGTGAGGGGGAGGGAGCGTCAGACTCTTACTGACTAAAAACCACCCCGTTCCTACTCCTGCACTTCGAGATGGAGCCTCGGAAACCCGTTTAGTTCTCCGCGGCTCCGTATCGGCATCAGCCCTATTGGGTCCCATCTGTGGTGGTCTGATGGCTCTTTGAGGCTTGATGGCTCTTTGAGGTCTGATGGCTCATATAATTATGCTTGATGTTAACTTTGGTCTCATTCAAGGTATTTAAACTGTCAAACACCGCGCGGTCACCGGTGAGCGCAACCTATTGTTCTATAATTGTGTCTATAATGAAGGTACTCAACGAGTTAAGTAAAAACATACATATTATATGATAAAATGTTCAAACCTTCTCCATGTGAGAAGCAGAATATGAAAAAGTAAAATAATGACTAAAGCACATTTTGTGCATAAGATAAGTTGTCATCGTCCGTATAATGCTTATCAGGAACGAGAAGACCGCTGCTGAACATCTTTACGCAAAGAATTCCAAATCTACAGGAAAATGGGTACTTATCCCTAACATATTATCTCGGATATACATTCTGAAGTTCTTCACTGTGCATGTGGATGAACCATCAGATGAACATTTTAATTTACTATTAATGTAGCGGCACGATAATTTCCACAAATAGACTATATTTTACGTCAATGCTGAGATGAATTCGTGATATAGCGATGAATACTTCAGAAGATGATGAATAAAGAAAAACTAACCATCACTCACTTTGATAATTCTCGTCTTCCTTCCAGAACTTGACGCTGGCCCTGAGTTTAATTAGAGCAAGACAAATAATCGCTTAATTAATGCGACACTACTTATATATATTTTAAAATATTAAAATGATAAGATTGCAGTGCTGGTATGTTTTTATCTAAGGCAAGATTAATAGACAACGTTATTTGTTTATCAAAATCACAATAAATCCGAACGCGGATGTAGGAAATTAGTTGATATAAAATATGTGATCAATGGTTATAAAATGCTGGACAAAGGCCCTTAGTCCTCCCCTAGACTTCTTGTTGCATTTCTAATGGGTTCTTTTAAGCGGGAAAATCATCGAATGACTGCTCCCGCCTGGGTGAGGCGGAAGGGAGTGTAAGTCTCTTACTGACTAAAAACCACCCCGTTCCTACTCTTGCTTCTAACCAGAACCCCGGTAACCCACTAGTAATACTTACCCCTATTGTGAATTAAGTGAGATAGGAATTATCTACATAAGTACATTTTTACGTTAAAGGTTTTTGGTTTTAGACGTTGTGTCTTTGAACGTATCATGTAGGACCATTCAGGTTGTGAAAAGTGCAATATAAAAATGATTTTCTACTGCATTATCGTACACAAACTGATTAAAACTCTGTAAACATAATAATCTTATCTTCCCTAAAATTTATATCACTTCATTTGTAATTAAGTTTGAACAAAGACTGGTTCCATATAGTGGATTTAATGAAATTGGATTGGAGAATATTCACATTATATTAGTGTTTCACTTTCAACATAAGTATCATGGTAAGTACAGTTATAACATTCTAAGATGTCACCATCAGAGCTCTTATACACGAACAGCATGTTGCCAATGGCAGAGGTAGCTGCAGTCGTTGATGCGTTTCGGCGTCAACCGTTGACATGACAACTTCGAAGAACGCTACAGAAGTGTCGCTATAGGTTCACTGCTAGCATCGACGCATGCGTGGTTGCCGCAGTTGCCTTGGCCTTTGGCGACATGCCGCTCGTATGTAAGAGCTCTCACGGATCACAACCTGTTGTTTATTTTGTAAGTGTAAACATATACAACATTTCAATTATACATATCTAAATGACTGTCAGATTGCTTGATTGGCGGAATGACTGGGTAACCAGCAATTTTATGTGATCCACAAATTAATGTTTCGGGTTTGAATGTGATGTATATGTGCCTGAAATGGTATATTTCTAAATGCATCTACAACACAGGAGAATATCCTAGTGAGAAGCAATGTTTAGAAAAGTTATACAGTATGTCCTTGAAATTGTGAATCAAACTGACCTAAAGAGGAGGTAATTTTCTATCTTTTTTATATATGTTTTATCAACACTTAAGACCAAAATTGGTTTTGTGTGTGTAATGTTTTCCCGTATCATTGTATTCTTTTTCTCTATCTTGTCTTAGTCTTTAGCATTTCACACAAGCAGTACGAAAGCATAACACATGGTTGTTACAGATGAGGAGCTTCATCATCATCACAGTGCTGTCAGCACTCGCAGCCTGCAGTGTTGCTGACCTCCCGAGCGAGGAGGAGATGTATACCATAGTATACGATGAAAAGTACCCCAATGGAACGATTGTGTCTGACGCAGAGTTTGATTCCAGATTTAAAAGTGTAATACCGTTAGCTGAGTGAGTATCCACCAAGTTAGGACTAACATCATTTATTTTGCAATCACGCCATGAACAAAGGTTTTTTCATCTATTTCCAAACCTATCTGATAACGTAGTCAACGTTATATACGTTGCCAAGGGTCTATCAGTAAGATTATAATCTATTCTCTACCAACCACATCTATATCTATACTATTTTATAAAGAATGTACGAAATTATTAGTAAGTAAGTTAGTAAGAAATTATTAGTATAGTCCTATGCAATAGGAGGTGAGTCTATTGCCATATACCGGGCACAGTTCCAGACTCCGTGCTACTACTGACATTTTTTTAAAAGCCCAGTAATACTTTGCCCGACCCGGGAATCGAACCTGAGACCCCTTGCCCGGCAGTCGCAATTGCGACCACTTGGGCAACGAGGCTGTTTGTGTGATTATTACAAATACAATTAAAAAAAAATGTTATGACATTAAGTAATAAGAATCCTAGCGTAAGACCAGCCACAAGAACTAGTGTAAATTAACATCATCAACTTGTAAGTGGCCACTGCTGACTAAAGGCCTCTTATCGCACGGAAAAGGTTTGAGCATTAATCACCACGCTTGCTCAATGTGGGTTGGCGATTTCAAACTTATAATTAGAAATTATAAGCCAATGTTTCCTCACGATGTTTCCCTTCACTGTTTGTCAGTGGTGTCCAAATAATCTTCTAACTAAACTAAACATGTAACTCGGAAAACATCACATTGGTATTTGTCGTTGGTAGGCATCAAACCCGCACCCTGGTGAATGAGAAAAGAACGTCTTAATCCTCTGGGCCACCACGACATAGTGTAAATAATATTGTAACTTTTTGTTCAGATGGCGATGTCGATCACCGGCGATCTCTCGACGGCAGCAGACGGTTACTGTGGCATATCACGGTGATCCCCGTGATATAATAACCAGAACAACTTTTAGTCAATCTGGAAATCCGAGAATTTCCCAAACTCCATTGATGAGAAATAGCATTTTAATAACAATTACGTCCCGATCTGGTGTAGGCATTGACTCACTAGTTCAGATATTTACTTGAACTTAATTCCTCACGTTTAGGCATCGATCACACCATAACATAACATAACATCACGCCTTTTATGCCCGAAGGGGTAGGCAGAGGTGCACATTATGGCACTTAATGCCACTGTACGATGTAACACTCACTTTTCACTATTTATGTTATGAGTCCCATGTAATAGGGGGTGAGCCTATTGCCATGTACCGGGCACAATTCCAGGCTTCGTGCTACTACTGACACACCACAGATATAATATTTCTGTGGATCACACGAATTACTTATAAACGTGTAGTCCGCCGCCGACATGACAGTGATTATGCTCATCGACATCGCACTACATGATAAGCGTATCAGTCAGTTCAGCGTGAACAAGATGTCAAATATGAGGTAAAACTATAAACGTGTAACGCGCATTTAACTGTCAGCGGCCGACAATACGATTGGTATGAACGATGCCTTACACTGCCACCTACAAATTTTGTTAATAAAATTCACACCAAAATAAAGTATATTAATAAAAACTCTACCTTTTTTATTCTACATTTTACTTAAGTCTAGAAAACTCCTAAGTACTGAAAGAAAATTATCTAATTGAAGCTGATTTTGAAATCTATACTTAGAGTATTAAAAATGCGAAATGTGTTTGTCTGTTTATTTGTCCATTTCTTAGGGGAAACGGAGCGACAGACGGACGTGATTTTTTTTTATTCTTCATCTATCTTCTGTACCTACTAATATAATAACTATGTCGCTACATAAACTACTTTTCAGCTCTTTTTAACCCCCACTTTCTTAAAACATCAATAATTATTAAGCAAGTATTAATATTATTCCTTAATTTTCAAAGCTACAAATTGGTATACGGATTATTTGTGTCTAACAAAAAATATATAAAATATATGTGCATATTTTTTTTTATAGAGCTGCCCTCAACCATTTGTGAAAGCGTATAAGAAATTAGTAATGTATAAAATAGCACACACTTGAAAATTTTATCTGAAACAATTAATCTTCTCCTATTTCAGGGCACGGTGGTGCCCCCGCCAAGTCGAGAGCGAAACCAACACTGCCGTACCATCTTTTACTGAGACCATTTCATTTCGGCTAAGACAAGAACATACAAATTTCGTCATCCAGTAAGCTATAATCACATACTTAAAATCCAGGTCTGTAGGTCATTAAGTTCCAAAGTTATGTGAAAACAAAGTTTTGCACTTATGATTCCCATTCGCTCACTCATGATCATCAAAATAGAACTGGTCCTTCCCATAAACTAAGAGAGCTGAAATTTGGTGCAGATTTAGGGTTTAATCTATACTCTATAGTATAGAGTTTGTTCTTTATACTATTAGTATAGACTCTTTACATTTGATTTTTTGTTTGTTTGAATGGAATCTACTCTGAAATTACCAGGCCCATTTGAAAAATTCTTTTACCGTTGGAATCCTACATTATCGATGCTGAATATAGGCTATATTTAATAAAACAGAAAATAGAGAACCGTGTGAAAATTTAGATAATGTAACCCAATGTGTTGTGTGAAAATACTACCAAAAGCTCCTTATACTATTGCTTAAGACTGACTGCCAATAGAAAACTGTTTTCAAGGACTAATAATAGTATTTAGGTGCATCAGAATCAGAGATTTTAAAGAAAAAATACGAATTGAATTAACTGAATACATTTTATTCATAGACTAGCTTCTGGCCCCGGTTTCGCTCGCGCTCTTTTAATGTAGAGGTATTGAGGGCAGGTTTACAAATGATGAAAAAGAATCGGTGCACGATGCTTTCCTGGTCACAAATATGATCCTAATTTTAGGTATCTTGAAAATTACGAAATGTTCCATATAAAACATCCAGCCCCTGTTTTAGGGAAGTGGTGGGTTAGAAAGAAACAAATTGTCGCCTATGCTACTTTCAATCCTCTCTACTATCTCCACTCAGTTAAAAAAATCACGTCAATTCCTAACAAAACAAACAGGCGTAAAGAAATTTATACTTTTCTATGTTAACAATACCTTTCTATATTATCTGACATATTTTTGACAAGGGACTTTCATGCCAATTTAGTTGGTGCAGCCGCTTCCGCGGCAGAGGCCCTCAAACGGCGTAAATATTCAAATCTGGGTAACTACTGTTTCGAGCCGTTTGGGGTCGAAACACTTGGGCCATGGGGTCCCAGTGCACACTCTGTTTTTAAAGATATCGCCCGTAGGCTAATCGACTCTACACGTGACCAGAGGGCTGGCTATTTCTTCTATTTATTATTGACAATTAAATTTTTTATTATCATGGTACAACATTAAGATATGCAAAGAAGCTGAATACTAATTTTATTAACTATTGAACCTACTTGATTGAAATTCGGTTCAACGAGAGTTTGTGACACTGGCACTGGAAAGGAAATCTCACGGGACAGGAACTATGCGTTAAAATTCCGGGAATCTCTGTTGCTTAAACCACTGAACCTATTTGAGTGCAATTCGGTACAGCGATAGTTTGAGACATGGAAAATGAGGCCTGATAGTCTTCAACCGTTGTACCTATTTGATTGGAATTCAAATGGAGTTTTAGTCACTGAAATCTCACGGGAATGGATACTATACGGGGAAAATCCCTGTGGAATTGTTTAATAAACAACATTTCACAATCAATATAACTAAACTGATTCTGATGATTTTTTTAATACAGCATTGCAATTAACCTTGGGGAAGACTCATTAAAAAATCCAAATTTGCCAGAAGTTATTATTATACGCGGACGATGTCACGAGGAACAGCTAGTGACCACATAAAGGGAAAACTATAAAAACAAGAATAATCGAAGATCTGGAGTACGTGGTGACCCTGGTTAGAAGCCACAAGACCAAGCCCAAACAAACTGTTAGAGATTGTCTTGTACTGCCTTTACAAAAAATATTCAACTTGGTGGGCTGCTTGATTTAATGTCAAAAGTCGTGTGTTATGTTGTATGACTTGGCCGTTGAAGGGTACACATTTGACGTAGGTTAAATTTCATTTTGAAAAAATTAGGGATCCTTGGTAAAATTTGAACAATGTAACCGAAGGTGTGGAAAAATGAGTCTTAAAATGTCTTTCGTCGAATGCGCTGCCGAAACTATTAGCGATAGAATAAATTAGGTACATTGAGTTTAATTAATTGCAATGTTGTTAAACTGAATACAGTAATGTCAAAGAAATTAAAATTATTAATACCATTGTTGTCAAAAATGTAATGTCAATTTAAATACATATATAATAATAAAGTTCAATTGTTGTGTGTCCAAGTCACACAACATTAAACTATAATAATAAAGAAATCACAATAAGGAACCTTAGAATTGGCACGACTTTATGTAGATTTCATTACTTTTTAGAGATGGTCAAGCGGCTCCATCGAGACTGCTAGTTTTTTACAGAATGTTTTTGGTTGGAGACAGGCGTGAAGTTATGTATGTATGTATTTAAACCTACAGATAATGAAACCTGTAAAAAAAAATTGCTTCGTATATGTCATCGATAAACCTCCACTATTGCGTTATCTAATCTTTTTAATATAAGCGATGTTGATTCCTCTTTGTGCACGGTCGACTAATCCTTGTGCTTGAGTGAGCACAGGTGTCAAATATTGGACTAATAGGAGAATAATTGGAACACTTATAAATAATAAAGTACAGTGTACGTGAACATAGACATATTTTGTTTTTACATCACTCCTGTCATAACATGGTAAGTACCGATTATTTTTAAGGTGTACATATTTCAGTTTTAAATTATTTTTTTTATATTTTAAGTTGTATATATTAATAGTTTTATAGGGTTAAATAAAAAATATTTTTTTATAGATTGTATTGTGACTGGCCACAATTTTTTGACTGCGTCACCTCACTAGGAATGTAGACCTACATACGAATCTAATAATATTACCATTTCTTGTAGCAGAATTTAGATGTACATAGTACAAGAGATTTTTAGTAATTTAATCAGTTAAATTTTTGTATAAATTAGAAAAAAACTGCTGTCAATCAAGATTTTGCCAAATAGAAAGAAGCCACACACTATCCTATAGACTGATTCCATGCAGAGTTGCAGACATGGTAGGATCTTTTACTACCAGTAAGAGTTACAAAACGAGACGAACTCTGAGAGTTCACTTCTTTTGTTTAATGTTTTATTAATTTTTATAACTATACGCTGCGAACAGGATCACCACCAATGGCCAACATCATTTTGCTGATTATAAGGTGCCAATTTTCGATTGTGAAAACAAACACAATGTCGAAATAAATCAAATCAAATATCTTTATTGCTAAGCATGTTTAATGTCATCCATTTTTATATGTTTCCTAAAAGAGAACATTTAAAAATATAAAATGCAGTAGCTATCCGATACTAGGCTGCTAGGGCTCCAGAGAGAGAAATTTCAGAAAATAAGCGGCAATATCCAGGTATAAGTACTGCTTTCTGGGTCAGGCCCTTCCCTGGACCGATTCATGAACAATTGACGATGACAGAAGCGTCACCGATTCATGGTAGATGTTCCGCCCACACGCATGAAGCGCTTCGCTTCAAGCTTCCTAGTGCTAAAGAGTGGAATTCTTTGCCAGAGTCTGTATTTCCTGAAGGGTATAACCTGGGAGTCTTCAAGGCCCGGGTGAATAGGTTGCTTATGGGACGACGTGCTACATCGTAGACCGCATTATCGCTTACCAACAGGCGGGATAGTGGTCAAACGTCGCCCATCAAATAAAAAAAAAAAAACGTTAGCCTACTCACTCAGGTACTGTCTTTCTTAATGTCTTCATTATTAACTCTATTTCATGTGGTTGTTACAGATGAGGAGCTTCATCATCATCGCAGTGCTGTCGGCACTTGCAGCCTGCTATGGTGCTTCTGTCGTCCCGAGCGAGGACGGGTACATCACCACAATATACGACGAAAAGTCACCCAATGGAACAATAGTGTCTAATGGAGACATCGAATTTACAAACGAGAGATCTACTATATATGCTCAGTAAGTATCCGAAAAATATGTAAAATGAGTCACACACCATAACCAATCAAACAATTAAAAAAACGGCGGGTTGTACTCCGGGAGTGTCGGCAGAAGTGAAAACTTAAATATTAACGGTGTGCTTTTTGGACATTTTGGAATGGTTATGAAATAATTTTGCACGATTTGCTTTAATTATCAGAATAAAAGTACTATCTTTCATGTGGTAGAATATAATATTTATTTATTTATTGCGCTATCGTATACAAACATGACAATTTATGTTAGATACATTAAAAAGTTTATATCATTACCAGAACCATCATCGCCAATCTCTAAAACTGGTAGGTACGATCGGCGGTTTATGATAGCTGAAGCTGAGGGAAGAAACGAACAGTTTTGATTCGAACCTATTTAAATGTCTAATAAAGACCGCATCAATAGCAGTTTTGTATTTCGTTGTGCTAAGATGGCGATCATTTGACATAGTTAAACCAAATTCATTATTTAAGAAATTCAATTAAACACTTATGAACATTCAGAACATTCGCGCAAGCGCCCTGTCCCTGCGCCGCCTAAACGAAACAGCCGGTTCAGGCATACATTTTCGCCGCGCCGTAGAAAGAGAGAGGAATACTCCTTGTCCTACGCCACGCCAGCTGTCTACTCTGCATTGAATTTTCGATCAGAGGCCTTAGTACGAGTTTGATTTACGTTTAAAGTATTCGAAACGAGTACGCGTTCGGCACTCTGATTGGCCGGCGCCAATGAAGCAACCAATCACATCGCCGAACGCGTACTCGTTACGATTACTTTAAACGTAAAACAAACCCGTACTAAGGCCTCAGGTCACGTGTCCTGACGCGAATCCTGACGCGAGTTTAATAATTTTTACCCATTACAAAAAAGTGTACAACGTGTTACAGAAGTTTTCACTTCAATAGAAACCATTTAATAAATGCGTATGAATTTGTGTAGAATTATACTATATTTGTTACTTACTAAATTCAAAAAGGCTAAAGATATGAAATATGAAACGGCACCCCCGTTTATAGTCTGCAATAACACATATACTATTTTTTAGCCCACAATAATATATTACTGCCTCTGCCTCTGCCTCTGCTCATTGGCCGAGTGGTCGCAAGTGCGACTGCCGGGCAAGGGTTCTCGGGTTCGATTCCCGGGTCAGGCAAAGTATTACTGGGTTTTTCTCAGTGGTAGCACGGAGTCTGGAACTGTGCCCGGTATATGGCAATAGGCTCACACCCTATTACATGGGACTCATAACATAAATAATGAAAAGTGGGTGTTACATTACAGTGGCATAATGTGCACCTCTGCCTACCCTTTCGGGGATAAAAGGCGTGATGTTATGTTATGTAATAATATATTAATATTGCGATATTTTTTTAGGTGGGAGAGTGAAATACCGACGAGCATAGACCGACACACTGTTTCCTTTATGTACGTTGGCAATCCCAGTGACATCATTACATCAATAAGAACCGGTATTTATGGAGAACCCGAGATAGTATACCGATCTCCATTGAATACTAACATTTTTCAAATGATCCTCAGGACACGTGCTGGACAAAGAATGCGTGCAACAATACAAATATCGCGTTAAATAATGTAGATTAAATAAAATATTTGTACAAAAAATATCGTGAGTTTTAATTTTAAATAAGGAAGCTCTACATACTACAAAAAAAACTAAAGATAATATGTATTCATTAATAGTATAGTATTTATATAGATTAATAGTAGTTATAAGTAACTTTATTGTATAATATAAGAGCGCCACTATCGCCAACAAACTGTTATACAGTTTGGCGGTCGCGGAGAACTTAACGGGTAACCGGGGCTCCGGCTCGACGTGCAGGAGAAGGAACGGGGTGGTTTTTAGTCAGTAAGAGTCTGACACTCCCTCCCGCCTCACCCAGGCGGGAGCAGTAATTCGATGATTTTCCCCCTTTAAAAAAAAATACAGTTTGGCGATTTTTGATGTATAAGGTAATTTATGTATAATTTTTGTGAATAAATACGTTAAAAAAAATACATAGTTCAAGTCACAGAGACACGCTGCTTATAAGGAAGAGTGCCTCTGTGACTCGACACTAGTGGAGCTTTTCTCAAAATTTACGTAAGTAAACAATTTATAAATAAATGATTTAGATTACACAGAGCTAATGTCGAATTGACTTGTCTTCCACTGCATGAAATATAATGATTGTATTCCAAAAACAAGATTTAAATGTAAATAAATAAAAATTTGTACTAATACATATATTAGTACAAATTTTTGTTGTTTTATTTTTTGTTAATGACGATTTGTAACTCTTACTGGTAGTAATAGATCCTACCATGTCTGCAACTCTGCATGGAATCAGTCTATAGGATAGTGAGTGGCTTCTTTCTATTTCGCAAAATTTTGATTGACAGCAATTTTTTTTTATATTATATACAACCTGTAATATAAATAACGTACATCCTGAAAATAGTTTCTTCAGAATCGTTAACTGAATCGATTTATATAATTTTTGGTACAGGTAATTTTTTATCCCAAAAATAATTAAAACTACGGAAATTATTGTCATATTAACCCTGTATTGTTAAAAACAAATCGAAATGGACCGTAAGTCAAAGCAATAAGACTTTTAAAATCGCAGTTTTATTTGTATTCATACAAATTCTATCATTCAACACAAAATAAAGAAAAATAAATCTTATCACAAGACCAGTAAGGACGCATATACATGTTAAATTAAAAATGTAGTGTATGTATTATGATTATAACATAATATTCTAATTGGGGTGTTTGAGGGTGTGCGTTAATTACGCTACATGTTGTATTTGATGGGCCGACGTTTGACCACTATCTCGTCTGGTGGTAAGTGATGATGCGGTCTACGATGGAACATGTCGTCCCATAAGCAAACTATTCACTCGGGCCTTGAAGACATTCAGGTAAGAAATGTAGACTCTGGCTAAGAATTCCACTCCTTAGCAGTACGCACAAGGAAGCTTGATGCGAAGCCCTTCGTGCGTACTGCAAATAGTGGAATATTATCTATGTGCAATAGCTAAGTTTGTATGAAATGATCATGATATTATTTACGTTTGTGGAGAACAAGTTTATACTTCAATTTGTGAAAACATCCTTTTGATTGCCTGATTTTTTGCATTTAAAAAACTCCTTCTTTACCTTGGAGAGCACATTGAACCATTACTTTCAGTTTCCCACACAAATATCTCTGATATTTTCTTCTCATGTGCTTCATATCTTGTCTTCATCACTAATCTTATCTTTTATCTACCATATATAAGGAATATCGAATCTCTAAGATGAAGTACAACTGGTGATAAAGTTTAAGAAAGGACAGGCTTTGATATTTGAATTAATATTGAAGTAACAGTGTTCGTGAAGTTATCAACATTTTGTTTTTCAATCATTACTAATATACCATAGTAAGTACCTATACATTTTTTTTCACTCAGTAAAGGTACTGTTACGCATGCTAATTTCAAGCATAATGCTTCAATTGAGCACGTCTTGTCAGTTAGTTGTATGTGTGTCGGAATGTTACTCAAAATCAGCATGCCCACTTCGGGTATGCTTGCGAATCGGCAATCGTTCAATTTTTGAACATTTTGAGCATGCTAAATCAAACGCCGTTTATCATGCTAATTTAAAGCATGTGTACCTTGACGATTGAGAACTCATCTCCCTTCATTCCTAACTTAATAAAAGTGGTGCAGTCATAAATGACTCTAGATAGTTACATTTCAACTAAGTATTGTTCTAAACACAGTCATTATATAAATTATTATGTCTTCGTAGTGATTCGACGAGGAACTCGACTAGTTTCAAGCCATGCTAGAGGCTCATATTCATGAGCAGCATTTCGCGAACCGCGACGCGGCGACTATCGCGCTGCTACTGTAGCAGTAGAAAACATAATAATTTATTTAGAATGTCTCACGAAAGTTACAATACAAACACAGTCATTATATTCACACTTAACACGACGCTGGTGAACGTCTCTGTGTCTAGTCGTAGAACGTATCGTAGTATCTTTTCCTTTTCTCCTTTTAGTCTAAGTCCTAATGGGTGTAACACGTGAATGTTGCAGATGAGGAGCTTCATCATCATTACAGGACTGTTAGCACTCGCAGTCTGCTGTAATGCTTCTGCTCTTACGAGACAAGAAGATCCATCCGAGGTTTACGTCACAACTACAGAGTATGAAAATGGAACGATTGTAGATGGTGCAGACTTTGCATTTTCAAACGTGGGATCTTTATTATCTGAGTAAGAATCTATAAGACTTATATAGACTTTTGTGTCACACCATAAATATTAGATGATTAGTAAGCCGAAGTGGCAATGGACAGGGCACATATTGTGTCGCTCAGAGAACTGTTAGCCGATAGGGTTGGAAGGTTCTCAAATGCAGGCTATGTACCGGCAAGTGAGTAGCTAGAATAGGACGGACATCCTTTACCAGTTGTCTGTCCTTGTGGGCGGCCACTTAACTCCACGACTGGTATAGGTCGCAAGAAGTCGCTGGATGCAGGTCGCTTCCAACCGGTCAATCTGGAAGTCACTGGGGGCATATATTCAACAGTGAATATCTAGCAGCTAATTTTAATGATGATGATGATGATGGTCGTGTTATTAATATTGCGATATTATTTTTAGGTGGCATTGTGAAGCCCCGTCTATTGTTGGACAGTCGCAGACGATTACCTTAAAGTATTTAGGTGATTCTAGTGAAAGAATAACAAGACGAGTTACATCTATTTACGGAGACCCTCAATTAATTCAGACTCCATTGGGGAGTAATGTCTATGAAATGACGCTTACTTCTCGTCCTGGTGTAAGGATAGCTGCGAGTTTTTACATATACGGTTAAGGTCTTAAAGTTTGTTCGTAAACTTTACTGTACCCGAATTCCAACTCTGCATGGATATTGTTATCCGAAAACAACACTAAATTATACAAACAAATGATATTAATTAAGAAATTCTGTGTTTTACTTTATTTATATAGCTGATCTTCTGATGGTTAGCATTCGCCGATCATAGACACCCGAAATACCAAAATAATTAGAAATGCGTTGTTGACCTATTTAAGGGTTTTTTTTTAAGGGGGGAAAATCATCAAATGACTGCTTCCGCCTGGGTGAGGCGGGAGGGAGTGGCAGACTCTTACTGACTAAAAACCACCCCGTTCCTTCTCCTGCACGTCGAGTCGGAGCCCCGGTTACCCGTTAGGTTCTCCGCGACACCTTTAAGGGTTAGGGATCTCATTAGGGCTGATGCTGATACGGAGCCGCAGAGGACTGAATGGGTTGCCGGGGCTCCCGTTTCGAAGAGCAGAACGAGGAACAGGGTACTTTTTAGCCAGTAAGAGTCTCACACTCCCTCTCGCCTCACCCAAGGTGGAAGAAATCATTGGATGATTATTCCCCCCTCAAAAAGGAAGTTAGAGATTTCAGGGTTAAGAATTCGGACTAAGGATTAAGGACTTTATTCATATAACGTTCTGGTTGATTCACAACGGTTTTCTGTAAGTCTGTGGTATCACTCCAGTCATGCGAAATGTATGGTTTATTCGATATCTAAATTTATATCAAAATTATAGGGTTCAAAATAATAGAAAGGAATACATTGCCTTGCTGATGACTGTACAGTGTAGGTATACAGGCTTTCAACAAGTCATTGTGACAGTTCAATCTTCAGCAGTGACCGGCTGGTGGTTGATATGATGATAATAAATAGATAATTATAATTATACTTATGTATGTATTAGTATATGTATATATGTATGAATGTATGTATGTATGTATGTATGTATGTATGTGTGTATGTATGTATATAATTCTATATTAGAAGTAAATAAATTTGTTTTTTTTTTAATGTTTTCACTTTTACATTATATAAATAAGCACCTCAGTACGCCAAGCTATAACTACCTCATTTAATATCCTACTATAGTATTCTATCCACCCAAAGGTTGCCTGGTAGATATCGCTTTTAGCGATAAGGCCGCCTTTGTACCCTATTTTCTTTATTTGTTCCTGGATATACTGTCTCAAATTGGTGTACAATAAAGATTATTATTATTATTATTATTATTCGTGTATATAGGTTCAGACCTCACCCATTTCTGGGGAAATACACCAAAGTTGCGGACTTTTGGTCAAAGCAACCTTGGGGATGATTTGATGATATTTTTATTCTATGGACAAGAACTTTCTAACGATTCTGCAAGTGTTTAATATAACCGCTTTTTGTAACAGTGTGTATGTGAGAGGATGTAAGTCAAGGGTTTTTATGCTTGTATGGAGTGTTTTGGGGATGACGCCTGTGCTAGATATTATAATAGGGACTGTTCTGACTGTGTGAACTTGCCACTGAGTTTTAAGCTCAATGGTCAAGTCTGCGTATTTGGAGAGTTTATTGGTGTGGGTAGAACTAAGGTTGTGTGTGTTAGGGATTGCTATGTCTATCAAATATACTAATTTGTTTTTCTTGTCGTGGAGAGTGATGTCAGGTCGGTTATGGTGTATAGTTTTATCCGTAAGTATGGTTCTATCCCAGTACATTTTATATTCAGGAGAGTCTAGGATAATTTGGGGTGTGTATTTGTAGTACGGTGTTTTTTCAGCGATTAATTTGTGTTTATATGCGAGTGCCTGATGTATGATAGCTGCAACCTGGTCGTGTCGGTGTTTGTAATCTGTTTGTGTGATGGATGAACATGCGCCTGTTATGTGTTGAATGGTTTCGGGTTGTCTGTGGCAGTGCCGACAGTGATCACTGCCAAGGGCACTGTCACGGATTATATATTTTCTGTAATTTTTTGTATCAATGACTTGGTCTTGGATCGCTAACATGAATCCTTCTGTTTCTGGGAACAGTTCGCCTCGCTTTAACCACGCGTTTGACGCTATCTTGTCAACAATAGGATTGGTCAAATCGAGACGATGACGACCATGGAGCGATTTTTGTGTCCAAGTCTGTATCTTTTGTTCTTTACTGATTATGTTCATGTGTTTTGTGTGGTTTGCTAGATAGAGTGGTGTGAATGAGTCTATAAGACATATAGCTTTGTGTAGTGGTGAATGTTGTGAGCGGTTGAAGAAAAATGTTCTAAGTAACTTGATTTGGTTGTTGTGAAGGTTTGTAATGTCGATAAGCCCTCGGCCACCTTCATTTTTTGGTAGGGTTAATCTTTGAATACAAGCCCTAGGGTGATGTTTCCTGTGTTTAGTCATTGTAGTATTTATGATTCTCTGTAATGTTGTGAGATCTGTTTGAGACCAACGTATGATACCAAAAGAGTAGGTTAGGATAGGGATAGCAAACGTGTTTATTGCCTTGATGGTATTTTTTGCATTAAGGTGAGTGTGTAGTACTTTGTGTAGCCTGCTTCTGAAATTTTTCTGTAGTGCTTTTTTTGTGTCTTTGTGGTGGATTTCTTTAGATTGATAGTAGCCGAGGTATTTATACCCTTCGTTTGGGTCTATAGCTTCAATAATTTCTTGGTTTTCTAGTTCATACGTTGAAGGTACTGTTGATCCTTTGATGACAGACTGAATTTTGCACTTGTCTATCCCAAATTCCATGCGAATGTCATTAGAAAATGTTTGTGTGATGTCAGCGAGGGCGTGTATTTCGTTCAGAGTGCTTGCAAATAATTTTATATCATCCATGTACATGAGATGAGTTAGGGTTGTATGTTCTGAGTTGTGTTCGATTTTGAGTCCTATATTATTTTTGTTAAGCATGTTAGATAGTGGGTTAAGGGCCAGGCAAAACCACAAGGGGCTTAATGCATCGCCTTGAAAAATACCTCTTCTTATCGGAATGTGGTCTGTTTCAGTAGATTCGGTTGAATTGCATATTTTTAGTTTAGTGTTCCAAAGGGGCATGATTTTTTCAAGAAATTGTATGATAACCGGATGAATCTTGTAATGTTTTAAGATATAAATTAACCAAGAATGCGGCACGGAGTCAAAGGCTTTTTTGTAGTCTATGTACATGGTGTGTATGTCACGTTTTAGTTTTATTGCTTGTGTAGATGCTACAGCGTCAATGGTTAATTGTTCTTTGCATCCTTGGCTGTTCTTTCGACACCCTTTCTGTTCCTCTGCTAATATATTGTGTTCTTGTGTGTGTTTATATATAGTTTCACTTAAGCATGATGTGATAATTTTATACATATTTTGGAGGCAAGTTATTGGTCGGTATTTCGCAGGATTACTGGTATCTGATGGGTCTTTTGGTAGCATGTATGTTGTGCCTTGTGTGATGTATGGTGGCATTGTGTTAGGTGATTGGATGAATGTGTTGATGTGTTTGAGTAACAGTGTGTGAGTGCATGTTAATTTCTTATACCAGAAGTTGTGAATGTTGTCGGAACCCGCTGCTTTCCAATTGTGTGTTCTGGCTATAACTGCTTGGAGGAGGCGTAAGTTAATTTGATCAAATTCCATCTCTGGTATGTCTTCCCATCTTTTTTTGTCCTTTTCGATCCAGGTGTTTTGTTGATGTTGTATTGGGTTAGACCAAATATTTGACCAAAATTCTTGTAGTGATTCGGTGCTCGGTAGATGTGTGTTGTTTCCTTGTGGGTTGTTATGTTGCTGAGTAAGTTTTCTGTAAAACAGCTTTTCGTTGTTATAGAACTGTTTATTTTGTGTTTTTCTAAGTGTTGTCTCCTTATACCTTCTTAATCGGTTAGCTAATGTGTTAAGTTTTTGTTTCAGGGTGTCTAGAAAGTGTGTTATGTCTGTGTTTTCTGGTTCGTGTTGTGAGTGTATTTTATATATCTGTTTTATATTATGTATATGTTCTTCTAGAGCTTGCGATCGAACACCTTTTGCGTACTCCGTAACTCTTCCAATATTTGCCCTGAGATTACTTATCCTACGTTGAAGTCGTTTTTGCCACCAAGGGACTTTTACTGGTTGATTGCTATATTCACCATTCTCTTTTATTCTAGCACCATTAAATTTGGCTGCAGTGTATGCTGCACAGTAAATTATCGTCTGAAGTGTGCAAAAGTCTGTATCAGAAGTCAGTGTTTTTGGGAGTATATGGGTATTAAGACAACTTGTAATAGCTGCTAATTTTTTTGATGATTTTAACTTGGGTATATATGGTCTAGTTGTTGGATTTGATTCCTTGAATTTATTATAGTGTTCATTATACAATTCTTCTAATTGTTTGAGTACTTCAGCAGGGAGGTGTAGGGTGTTTTGTGGTGTTTGAGTTGTATTTTGTGCTATTTGTGTTGTGTCGTGGTCGCTAGTACGTATTGGTGCTGTTAGTTCAGTCTGGTCGTCATTGGTGACTGCTGTAGTTGGTTGTGTTAATGTTTCGTGTATCGTACAATTAGAACTATCTGTATTTATCGAGGCTAATTCACTTCTTACTTCTTCCCTAATTTGGTTTAATCGTGTAATGGATAAAAGTTGGTTGTTTACAATGGATCTGCGTTGGTCTGATATTCGTTGTGCTGATAAATGTGCTATTGAAGGACATTTTGAAATAACATCCTGGTGTAACAATGGTCTGTAGGTTGTTAGATCTGTTTCAAGGTTCGTTAAACGGTAATAACTTTTCATAATAGTTTCATTTAACTGATCACTCCATCTCATTCTACGGGATGGGGTTTGGTCTGTATCTGTGTTGTATTGTGGTGTTAACGGTTGGTTTTGTAACAAAATTCTAACTTCATCCTTGATATTTAGGATTTCCTGTTTTGTAAGGAAGTTGCGTTGGACAATAGCGCGGCGTTGATCTCCTATCCTTTGCTTTGAGGCATTCATTTCGGGAAATTCTAAACTAAAACGTGTGTGTAATGGCGTTAAATAAGTTTTTATGTTAGTTTCAAGTTCTGTGAGGATGAAATAGTGGCGCATGATGAAAATATTCATATCTCTTGTCCACGTTTTACGTGTGCGCCGGCCACCTTGGGCGAGTGCAGTAACTTTAGCTGAACTA